TATGCTGCCTGGCATCCCTAAATACCCCCTGGGCCAGGTGAAGCGACACAGGGGTATCTCCCATTTAGAAATCTCTACTTAAGGGAGAAGGAGCCCTCCAAAGCAATGACCTGGGCAGCTGGGGGTTTTATTCCTTTGCCTGGGCAGCCAGTTGAGGCCATTTCTGCACTCACGTGGTGCTGGCAGCTCTTGCCTTGCCCGGTGCAGTGAGGAATTGTGACATCTCCCTAATTCTTGCAAAATGAGAGAAAAACTGGGGCTCTGTACAGCAGTCAGTAGCTATGTGTGCCCAGCGTGCTGTGCCTCTGCAAAGAGACAAACTATTTTTTAAGGTATCTCAGAAGGGGAACTACCAGTAGAGTATAAATGTAATAAGAAATTTAAAAAAATCCATTTAGATCCTGACTAATTTTGTAGTTTGTTTTTCAGTAAAGGCAAAATAACACAGTTAAGAAGATATTGAATGAGACAACAAGGCAGTGGCATTTTTGGGGCAAAGTCCCTGTAGTTGCTGGTCCAGTCTGCTGCACATCGGTGAAGTGCTGGAGTGTCAGGAAGATGATTTTAGGTTTTTGTTGCTTCTGTTTTTCATGTTCCTTCCCTACAGTTTAGTGCTAACTACTGAAATGATACCATGTGCTCGAGTTCATACCTATTCACTGATCGACAAGATTAGCTGGGCCCTTAGCTCTCTGCACTGAGGCCTGATTTACAAGTACACCCAGGCTGGTTGTCCAAATTCTAGGTCAAATGCTGCTTCATTTTAAGGAGGAAAGTCAGCTGATTGCATTGCATCATAGAAACCAAAGTGTTTTAGTGTTTCTTTAAAAAAAAAAAAAAAAGAAGAATCAATTTTCCGTAGTACAAATATTTTAACTCCATTTTTCTTATTTCTTATCTCAAAGATGCTTTGATACATTTATTTATGTAGAAGGACAAGAACAAGTGCTTGAATTTAACTCGGTTATGTTTTGCCACAAGCATACCAGTGACACAAGGTGTGTGCATCGCATTCAGATTAAGAGGTTAAGTTGGGAATGGCTGGCTAATTGGCCAGTATCTTTATCAAATAGCTATTCTTGTTGATCGTCTGATGAGATTTCACAGCATGTTTTCCTCCAAGTTTTCCACCTGAGAGGCTCAGGCAAAATGTAATGAGACTTAAGGTGTCATGATGACTAAATGGGAAATTAAGAGTGAGGTCTGAAATACAATTGCTTATTATATTTATGATTCTGTTTATATGTGTTTATATTTTTAAGATGCCTATAAGCATAGATCAAGTAAAGCTGAGTTGACATAAGGATTTTTTCCAATTGAATGTTACGGTAATTGAAATTAAAACTGTCTAAGGGAGGAGATAATTTTATAAAACATTATTAAAAAGCATAGGAGACTGTGGCATTTCATTCAGCTTTCATAGGCATGTGAAGTGAATATTATAACAATGTTATAACCTTGTGCAAACAGAAATGACTGCGCAGGTTGTAGGCAGAGATGAACTTCTCTACAGAGATCAAGTTCTGTATGTTGCAGGGCAAAGGCTTCCAGTATGTTACTCTCTTCAGGATGCAAAAGCTCAGCTTTTACCTGCACTTGGAGATGCAATGAGCAGATAAGGCCATAAACAAACTCTTGGTGGGATTTGAGACATGCCCAGATGGCTAAGCTGCAATGTCTTAGATGCTCTGTGTGCTTTAAATTCCCTCAGTGTACTCTCTATTCTTTTAATTGTAAAGAATTATAAGGTTTTTTTGGAGTTGATTTTTTTTGCGGGGGGAATGTAGTTTTAGAATGTTGGAGTTCTACCCAAATATGTTATTCAGCCCACTCTGCATGCACAAGCTGGCTTTAAGCAGAAATATTATCCACATCAGTGTTGGCATAAAATATGTCCATACGTAACAGTGTACTGGCTCTGAATGCTTTCCTAGGACAACCCACATCTCTTTTGGTGGAATTAACAAGGATAAATTGTAACTACTCTCTGCAGTCAAGGCTTCAGCAAATAAAATTTTCATAAATTTGTAGTAGTACAGAGCCTTATAAAAATAGTTTTATTATCTGTGTGCTGATGCCTGAAAGTTCACAGTTCATCAGTTCACAGGAGTGTAAAGTCCAAGTGAAACATGTTTGCCTACTAACATACCTCCTAGTTTACAGCGTAGTGCATGAGCTGAAAACATCTGGAAACCTAAAATCAGGGGTGCGGGTCTTCTCTGAGTAGCGAGTTATTCGCGTTAGAAAGAACCATTCCTTTTTCCGAGGGGATTTTTCTTTCTTTTAGTCTCCATAATCGACTGCCTGGAAGCTCCTTCGCTGTTCGCACAAGGCAGAGCTGGAATTTTTGTTGTTCATTTTGCGGCCCAAAGTAGAAGCCTTCAGTATTGCTAGAGAATATGTGATCCTTTTATTAAAGGGAGAGCAGGAGAGACATAAAGGTTATTTTAATTTATATTTTGTTTTTCCGCACAGAGTATCCTCCTTCTTCAAAAGCAAAAATGCTTTTATGCATTGCTTTTAGGTGAAAATCTTTTAAGTATCAGCAATGTTCCATATGTGCTATACTATAGCAAAAAAAATTTCTGAGATCTTTAGGTTAAAATGAGTCCTCAGCTGTGTGAAAGATGCATAGACAGAAAAATTGAAGGCTTGTGATATAGATTTCCAAAGAAGTGTATGCTAAAACCGGAATCAGATTCCTCCTGTGCTGCCAGGCAACTTGGATTCTCTCTTAGGAAGATATTTCTTTTTCCCATATTAAAAATTACTAATTGGAGAAAGTTCAAAAGTGGTATTACTGCTAATGGGAGGACTGCAATGCTAGATTTGCAAAGAAAGATTAAAGAAAGCTGCACTGCCTATTTCTAGCTTGGCTAACCATCAGCAAAGTTCATCAGCAGTTGAATGATGTCAGCTGCAACAGGAGAGTATTTAAAACTGCATTAGCAGGGAGTGACATAATAAAGTTGTAAAATAAGGAAAAAGTAAAAATAGATATGTTGAATAGCAATAAAAACTGTTAGGTGGAGGAACAGTTCCAAAGGAAGCGATACAAGGATGACAGCTGGAACACGGGTTTGCACCGTGGATTTACATTTCAAAGACGTGTAGGTGCATAGGGGGAAACTGCTTAAAAAAGAAGGTTTTGTGGCATGGAACAACCTTGTGTTGGAAGGAGGTGTTTGTTCAGGAAGATCCAGCAGGCCCTTGAGTGTCTCTTTCCTGCCCTTGCACTTTAGCTGAGAATCACCCTGGTCTGTCTGTGAGCAGTTATGTCTGTGGGAACCTGAACTGTGGTGTTACTGGGCCTGTTCTGAGGCTGGCAGAGGCATCACTTCATCACACATGTTATTGGCAGCAAGGGCTTTTGCTGTTGTACAGCAAGGCAGCTTTTTCCTGACCGGTCTCTTTACTTAGGTGACTTCAATGTAATAGGAAGGTAGAAGGGTGAGCTAGGACAACAGGCGGTACCATTAAGTGCTCAGGCACTAACCCAAGCAAGGAGGAGCTCTGCAGGTTGTAGCACAAGCATGCAGGGTGTATGGCTTGGTCATGAGGAGTTTACTTCCATCCCTCATTCCCTGGCCATTTGGAGAAATCTAAGACTCCACTTGGAGGTGGAAAACCATTAGTGACTGTTTCAGAGTGGGAAGATGATATGAGACAGTGTCGATTTTAAGCATCTGTTTCAAAGAGTATTTTTTACATCCTGCCAATCACCCTGAATCCGCAGGTACTGTGGCTGCCCCTCTTATTACAAGAGCTGCACCAATCCTCCCCATACTGTGTCGAAAAACATCAGTTTTAGGAAGTATTCCCTTTGCTGGCCCACGGTACCTAATTGAGCTTGATTATCCCTGAAACAGAATGTGTCCCAAACGTAGCCCTTCCTCGTGCACTGGGTCTTGGGAGCAGGCAGCCAGCCTGGCTTGCTTCAGTAGCTTTTAGATGTAAACAGTCTTTAATACACTATCTACGTTGTCAAAGCCTAATCTAGATGATGTACTGCCATTGCTTCTTTTGATATGCTGGCTTGGTTTCGAGTTCTCCTTGGATTGCTTGGCCCCAGATGGCCTTTTTGTGTTTTGTTTACTTTTCACTAAGCTGTCACATATTTATTCCCATTAGATATATGAAGTCAATGGGTTCAGCCTGGTTTTACAGCATAGTTGGCTAATACGGCACAGAGAAACACTGAGTGAAGCCAAGCAGAGGGTCAGGAGAAAAGCAGTGGGATTCTTCAGGCACAAAAGAAACACCAACAAAACAAGAAAGTGGTTAAATACACAGTAGAGGAGGTAGAGATGTTTTTTTCTAGGAAAATATTTTGATTGGAGAGTGAAAATTCACCAAAATATGGAAAGGTTTGTACTGAATTTCTGTTTTTAAAACCTCATTTCTGTACAACTTCTGAAATTTTAGGTGCATATTTTTAAAAGAAAAAAAAATGGAATTTGTTTCAAATGTTAATGGATACCAAAGTGTGACTTTAGCAGCCATTGAATGTAATGAGTTAGTTTGAATTTATTTAACATGCAGTTATCAAACAGAAGTCTTTGAAGATGCACACCTTCTACCAACAAGCATGCATACATTTCACACAGAATCACATCATTTTTCCTGTAAATGCTTGTTTTAGTGGTTCGGAGAAACATCTTACTGGGTTTTATTTGTTTATGTGAACTTGGTATTAGTGAAAGGTGCCCAGTGTGCCCCTTTGTTTCCAGAACGGGGCCAGTATAAGTTTTCTGCACAGTGCTCTTTCACCAACAGCAGGTTGCTCTCAAATCACCTTAAATTTCCTGCGTCTCCGCTGAGGAACAGAGCAAAAGCATCAAGTGGTGCCCATCCTGGTGTGATTTTTTTGTGTTGCGAACTCTAGGGCACTCAGCCTTTACTCTTCTCAATAAATAGACGCCAGTGGGGCTGCCACACGGGTAGGTGCGTGAGGTCCTCGTGGGCGCCCGTGGCCTGAGCTGTCCTCCTCGTTGCTGCAGGTGAAGCACGGGAACTACGCGTTCGTGTGGGACGCCGCGGTGCTGGAGTACGTGGCCATCAACGACGCGGACTGCTCCTTCTACACGGTCGGGAACACGGTTGCAGACAGAGGCTATGGAATCGCTCTGCAGCACGGCAGCCCCTACCGAGACGTCTTCTCCCAAAGGTAAGGGCTCGGAGAAGGAGCAGCGCGAGCGTCTCTCTCAGATACGGAACCTTTTCCTTTATTCTAAGCTTTCTGTAATGGAAAAATGTCTTGTGCTGCTTCTCAGCTTCCTGATTTTTGAGATGGGCGTTCATTTCCTCAGAGATATAGGGGATTATACATTTCTCTAGCAACTGCGTTAGAAATACTTTGTGGAGATTTTTTATGAGCTCCTCTTGTTCTTCATGGAAAACCTGAGCGAGATCGACCAAGCTTTGTTAGCAGGAAAATAAGGTAAGGAAAGAACTGAGGCTTGTGTTTCAAAGGGACGGCGTGACTCAAGCCTTCCTTTCGCAGAAACCTTTTCTTAAACAAAAGAAAAGCAGACAAACATCGTAGAGACTTTTGTTTGTACCCAAAAGTTTAGATGCTTATGCCAATACTAATCAATACCTTCAGCTACAAAAGGGAGATGTTTCTGCTATTGTGTGTCTCAGATCAGAAATTTTAAATGAGTGGTATCTATTTTGTCATCTCAGCACTGGATGCTCCACTGCAGAATCGACTCCTAGTTCAAAACACATATATGAAATGTGAAAAAACATCAAACATCAAAAAAAAACATCAAATATCAAAGTGTTATTTCTGTCGTCTGACTTTGTTAGGGCAAGATTTGTGCTAATCTCATGACCCTTTCTTTCTGATCCTTTTTTATTCTCTCAGACCCTTTTCTGATTATTTATGTTGAACTTTGTACAAAGCAGATTTTACACTTGTGCTGAATATGGTGTGCATGGAAAGGGTGTGTGCGAATCATCGTCATACGATTGCACTTGGTTCAGACTAATGCCTTTGCCTTAAAACCACGGTGTAAGGGAGGGGAAAAGGTAGTCAACGAGTAACTTGACAAGCACGTTGAGAGAAACGGTTGTCTGCTCTGCCATACTGCATGCACAGAGAAGGCCTAAATTGTTCGAATGGGTTATTTGCTGGGAATGATTTGGCTGAATTTTGTGCTGAGATAGCACTAACGAAACTGAGGAGTTCACAGAATCAATGATGAGTTTTACTTCAGAGAACCGTATGTACGATTTATATAAAAGACCCAGATTAGCATTATAGGGAATTCCTCGCTGAATTCTTTAATACTCTGACCATGACCCGTCGGGCTCTGCTAAATCTCTCGGCTCGGTACCATTCGTGTTTCGCATGCAAAACCCAGGAGCGTCTCAGGTGCTATTCAAGGTGTTAAGTCGTCATCTTCAGGGCATAAATAAGTCTGTAAATTAAGGTAAGTCTGAGCTGCAAAATTTGAAGACCAGGAGGAGTTTCCTAGGCTATTTCTCCAACGCTAACTATATGGAGACAGCCAAGTGACAGGCAGGGCGCCTGCCAGCACCAGCCCGGCCCTCCTCGTTCCCCCGCCTCCCGGATTCCTGGATCCCGGTGGATGTATCCAGACCACCTTAGGAGCAGTCCCCGGCATCGCCTGCAGAGCTGCTGCAGTTTGCAGTGCTTTGGGGAAGTGGTGGGCACGGCAGTATTCAGCACCCAGGAAGGCTTCGTTACCGCTTCTTCCATGCGCTGCCTTCCGTGTGGTCTCTGCAGCTCTGGCATTTCCAGGAACAGTTTTATTTTCTCATAAAATGGCAGCATTTCAAGGTATTATATTTTGGGGGTATGGCAAAGCAGAAGGAAGCATAAAAACTGGCACGTATATAACTCTCTTTATCTGAGCATCTCTGATGTGCTGTTTAAATATTAGCTTTTCTTAGTGGAAAGTAAATGTCATTTCCCCTGCCATGAGGCAGCTTCCAAGGTCAGGTGTTTTACAGTGGTGGCATGGGGAATCGTAGGCACTCAGACTTCTTCGTTTTGGTTTCCTGCTGTAATTACGAGAGCTCAGGTGGATGGAGAGAGGGGTCGTTCCTGAGCCCATCAGCCACAGGAGGGACTTGGCACCCAGGAGAAAATAACTCACTGCGTTAGCAGGATGAAGGGCAAAATGAGAATGTGTTTAGGGTAGTGCCTAGCTGCTGCAGAGCTGAGAGGGGCTGAGATGTATATTCAGGAAATGTGGGCACTGCCTTTAAACTAATTTTTATTTCTGTGTTATGACGGCTGATTATATTGCACTTTTAATTACACCCATAAATATAAATTTGCACTTTGAATCTGCCAAGCACCATATGAGAAACAAACACACGAAAGAGGATGCGTGCTTATAAGGTAGATTTGCTAAAAGCCCTTCAGTACTGTTTCTTATGATTATTTCCATATGGTTTTACAAGTCATCCTTGCTTTTCTCCCTAATGAAAAGGCTGAACAACCCTCAGCTGCTGCAGGCTGCATGCTAAATAGAGAGGAAAAGAGACTTTGCTGGGCAGGATTAGCAAACGTTCGCATGAATATTTCACACGCTTTAATACGGTGGGGAATCACTTTGAAATATGTTGGCATTTCTTGATCTTGCCCCAAATAAATATATCTGTGTGAAAATGCAGGGCTTGTATTTTATGAATTTCAGGGAAACCCATAAGCTGCAGAGTGTTAAATCCCTGGGGTTGCAGCTGTGAAAGGCCTGGCAAGATTACAGGAGATTTTGGTCTCCGTGCGGGAAGCAGGGCCGTGAGGTTAAGACTTTTCATTACCTTTTCTGGGCAGGCAGGGAATTCCCATTGAAACAGGGCGAAAAAGGAGCAGAGAAGTGTTAACGCTCCAGCCCTTCTCCCCAGGGCCACGGGGCACGATTAGAGGCAGGGTAATGCTGTGGTCAAGCTTTAGCCTTGGGGATTTGCAGGCGTATTGCGCGTTTGGGCAGCTGCTGTGCTGTCCTGCAGGGCCTGGAGCCATCGTGTACAGGGCCATGGGGAGGCACGTGGCTTTGGAGAGCGTGTTGGGTGTTCCCCCTTGTCCGCAAGGACTCGAATTCTGCAACGCAAGTTTGGATGTCGTGAAGCACTGGTGGAGGATGTGATAAACATGCTCGTATTTCATGCATTTTCTCTCTCTCTCTCAAAAAAAAAAAATCATTCCAGACCCAGCACAGAAAATGAAGCCGTGTTCAGCATCAGTCTCTCAAGACTCTGGGAAATAAAAGGCTTTGGGGTTGAAAAAGAGCTTTGGGCCCTCCGCGAGCTGTGGAAAGGGCAAACAGTACATGAGAGAAGCTGTAATGCTCAAAGCGCAAAATCAAAAAACAGCTTTGCTGTGGGCTCAGTTTATTGGAAGAGGTTTATTGGAAGAGAGGAGTAGCCAGCTGAAAGCATTACCAAAAAAAAAAAAAAAAGTCTTTGAGACCTTTCCTTTTTTCACACACAGAAAATTTGTGACTGAAACCAAGCGCCAAGCAGTGAGTGCAGACTAAGATGCCACTTTCCTCTATTCCGATGTGGAAATGGCCAGCTGGCGTCTTCGACAGCTGCTGTGACCATGTCCCTGGAAGAGCTGCTTCCAGGCCGGCCGTCACGCCGGCCCTGTGCTTGGAGCGCCGGGAAAACGCTGTGGTGGCGTTTGAAGGCCGGACCCTCCGCAGCGTCCTGCCGCCTCCGCCTTGGCTCCGTGCAGGGTTGATTCCGGGAGCGCCGCCGCTCCTCCCGCTAGTGCCGCAGGTCCGGCCGCGGGGGCTGTTACAGCCCAGAGCGTCCGTGCGCCGCCTCCGCTTCCCAGCAAAAGGAGTGGGCAGCGGTAAGAAAGATTCGAAGAACTGCTGAACTTGAGGCAAACTCCTGAATTTTAGTAGCGTTTTGTAGTTTTTAGAACCTTAGATTATGTAACTAAACTTACATGGGAAAGGGAGGGATTAATTCAAGGTTTCTGAGCCATCTGACATGAAAATCCCATCCCAGTAAATTCAATCCAGCCCATACCAACAAGGTTGTCTCAAGTGTTTGCTGTAAACCGAATTGTTTGCGTGTATTGAAGTTTTACAGAGGCGACGAGTGCACGGCTGCAGGGTTTAAAACTGCTTAGTGCTAAATGGGATGGCAGTGGGGCCAGGAGAAGTCTCGGCCAGCAGCTTCTCCCAAAGATCTGTCCTCATCTGAATTTCCAGCGGAGGGCTAGGGTTGACACACCCTTTTCCATGGTGCTTTGTCGTTTTTGTGGCTGCGTTTCCAGACCCCACGTTTTGCACTTAAATGTGGGAATGGAAACTTCATTCCGCCTCATGACTAAGTACAAGCACAAAACAAGAAGGATGATGTGATCAAGGCAAAACTGTGCATGCCACTTTATTCCTAAAACACTTTGCAAAGTGCATGAGTAGTTTGGATCGGACGCGCTTGCGCGGAGTGCTCTGAGCGCAGAGCTGCGGCACCGTGTTTTGTTCGTGCTTTGCGTGCCCAGCTAAAACTTCCATCTGTATGCATTTATTCTGCTTCGCACATTATGCTCTCAGTTACTTTGAATATTTCAAAGTCACAGCACTCTTTTCCTGACGTGCATTTGTCAGAGTGAACTGCCTTGATTGCTGTTATTACAGGCTACAGTTCCTGAATAAGGGGAAAGTCTTCTGTAGAACCAAAATGTGGAAAGTGCTCAATAAAACAAGAGATAAAACAGAATATTACAGTAAATGAATAGAAATAAAAGTTTTAAATGACCAAAGCCAACAAGAAGGAGGGGAGGGCAGTAGGAAGGGCAGAATTATAAATCTCACGTGACAAAACTAATCAGGAAGAATCTAATCAATCTTTAAGTTGATTTTAAGACCAAATATATAGGAAATGACTCTTAAACAGCCTGGTAGCGGGTCAGGAAAGTGTCTGTCTTTGATTTTCTCTTAATCACACGCTTTATCATGCTCCTCTAATGGTCGCTTTGGAAAAATAAGATCCTTTTATACTGATTGTATCTATGAAAATAAAAAGCATCATATTTGCTACTACTGTCTTCTGCCTTCTACTGACAGAATAGTACAAAAATAGGCAAATTTGCACAGCAGTGAAGGAAATCTGCCAATTAATTACCTACAGCTGCTCTGCACAAATCAGCAACATTTTAAGAAATAAGCACAAAATAACAGAATACCTTCACAGGCTTCAGTTTTGTAGGTGGGTTTCATTTTTTTTTTTTTTTTAAAAAGAGCACTAGTATCTGTGAAGATACATAGCTCCTACAGAAGAGTTGCAAGCTAGGTAAGCTGCTGTAGGAAAAACTCTCTTAAGGGAATACTTGGTCTGCAGCAGGA